CTAAACAACAACAACAAATTTTAGGAAAGAAATATGAGAAAGATTTGCTGAATAAAAAAGCAATTGATGAATGCAATAAACATTCTTCTCTGGCACCTTTTCCCCCTTGAACCCACTAGATCCTCAATTCACTATTAATTCTCTCCTTCAAGCAGATGAGGGAAAAGACAAGGAAGTAAGACTCCAGGCGACATTGCCAGAAAAAGGGGAGGATGAAAATGAGAACTGTTGGGATGGAAATGAATCACTGTGGCAGAATCAGGCAGACCAGAGGAGAGATACATCTCACAGATATCCGAGCGGCGTTGCCTCTGAAGATGAAATGGGAAAAACAACAAACAGGAGCATCAGTGCTCTTCAAAGCTCAGAGTATCAACAAAACATCCCTCTGAGGAAAAGTACAGTGAAATGTCCAACATGTCATGCCGAGATAAATCTGTGTCACTGTTTGGAGGATGGAGAAAGTTTCAGATGGAGCCCAGAAGATACAAGATTTCACACAGGGGAGAAACAGAAATGCTTTAGCTCTGACCTTAAAGCACCTCAACCAATGCATTCTGAAGAGAACATCTGTAAGTGCAAAGAGTGTGGCGTGAGTTTCAAGAGACATTCAGAACTTGAAAGCCATCAAAGTATACACACACGCGAGAAAGCATACAAATGTCCTGAATGTGGACAGGCCTTCAGACGCAATGCACATCTTCAATTACATCAGCGAATTCATACAGGAGAGAAACCCTATACATGCAAAGAATGTGGGAAATGTTTCAGTCATTCCTCAAATTTTAGAGTACATCAGCGCTTCCATTCAGGGGAGAAACCATATTCTTGTAAAGAATGTGGGAAATCTTTCTACCAGAGTGGTCATCTTCAAGTTCACCAGCGGATTCATACGGGAGAGAAACCCCATCAGTGCAATGAATTTAGTACACCAGCGAATTCATACAGGAGAGAAACCCTATCAGTGTAAAGAATGTGGGAAATGTTTCAGCCAAATTGCAAATCTTGTAAGACATCAACGAATTCACTCAAGAGAAAAGACCTATATATGCAAAGAATCAGATAAATGTCAATAATATGGGAAAAACTTCTGTTGAAGTAAAAATCTTATAGAATACAAATGGTTGATTCTGGGGAGAATCCCTATCCGTGCAAAGAAGGTGGAGAGAGCTTCTGTTATCATGCTCAGTACATCAAACATCAACAGATGCACAGAGAGGGGAAACTTTGAAACGTGCAGGAAATGAACTTCTTAAACTCCATCCATATGTCCCGTCAGGGTAGAAAACATACGGAGGGTCATACTACAGGGAGAGCTCTGGTGTTGAATGAAGTTGTTGTGAACCTATGAATGTACCTCAGAAAGAAACCTTATGGTGACTTCAAAGGGCATAATCCCCTCAACTTCATTAAATTCGCTTTCTCCACAAAACTCACATTCCTAATGGCATTTTACAGCAATAAGTATGATGCTCTGGATGAGCTTTTGAAGGTGGGAACGCCGTTACAGAAGGAAGGCATGATATGTGCAACTTCCTTCCTTTTCTGTAATGTTTTGATTGTTTTAATCTTGGATTGTTTTAATTTTACTGGGATGGTTTTAACTTGATTCTAACTTCATTACTGTATGAAAGTTGCCTTGGAACTGAAATAAATGTTCAGACTGGAATGAGGCCTCTTCAGATTATCAGCCTGAATTCTGCAAATAGGGATCCTGAGTGCAGTAGTGGGATTCAAATAAATTAACAACAGTTTCTATGTCCTAATGATAGATAGATAGATAGATAGATAGATAGATAGATAGATAGATAGATAGATAGATAGATAGATAGATAGATAGATAGATAGATAGATAGATAGATAGATAGATAGATAGATAGAT